GGGTTCGGGCAAAAATTTCCGAGCTCGGAGCCCTCCCCCTGGACAGCACGCCAAATACGCATAATCTTTACTCTGTTTAATTGATGTAAATGTGAACTCGTGAATCTCTATTTGCATGTGTTTGCTTCAGTTGCAGCGCGTTGAGCTGTCTCGGCCACCGTACGGCGCTCCCATTGAAAACAATTGGAAAAATACGCCAGCCGGGTGAAAAAAACACTTTGGTGGACACATGGCCAACGCGAATTTAATTATTTGCGCGAGTAGATTACATACAAAGTCAATGCAAAGACACGAATAGAGCATCATTCGCGCCGGGCGTCGCGAATGACGCGAAATTGGGCGATGCGTTTGCGGCGAACGTCTTGCGCGCAACGCAAGTTGAAATATTTGAACTCGAGCGGAAGATTCGCATGACGCTTTGTTGCGCCAGCCAATCAACGAAGAGCTAATTGATACGTCCGATCTATCACTGTTGTCGGAAATGGAGGAGATGCTAATTGTTGCCGTCTATGGGTACCTTGAAATTTACAATACTACTACGTCGTATGCTTACAAAGACCGGGCAAAAAAGGAAATAGCTTGGAGAAAAATAAGCGAGGAAGTTGGACTACCCGAGTGATGAAAATATACACCGATGGTGCTGTGAACCCAGACACGTGTGTCGGCGTTTGGCTTTCCTCCGTATTTGGGACTTCCACAACAAGTACAGAGCAGCAATATCTTTTATTTCAGACATGACGGAAACGTATGCCAGAAAGAAATTGTGTTGTTGTTTTTTTATTCACGAGTGACGTGGACGCGCGAATGGGTTCAAAATGTCCAAGCGTCTAACTAGACACGTATTTGACGCTCTATTCGCGTTCGGTGTGAACACACCATAAGAGCCTTATTCAGGGGCACAATAGTTGCTTCATGACCCATTGCTCAGTTCAGACCTATACTTTTTTAGTAACAAAATCAGGAGAAATTCAGATTTGTATTGGCTTCTATGGTTGTGTGGCCTAGTGGCCATGGCTATACGAATCTGAATTTCTCCTCTCAAGTTCGTTTTAGGTAAACGTGATAAACATGTTAACCTAATTTTTAAACTTGTTTTAATGACCCTACATCCCAGCAAGCAATTTTGCGTTTAAAAGACGTCTAATAGCATTCCGAACACAGCCGTGACATCCAGGCTAAAATTGTATAGACGTCTAACCATCGCCCAAGAATAGACAAGTCATCTAAAACATGAACATGTCAAAGAAATGAAACCAAACACCTTGTAATCAATGTTTACTTTGCTTACATGATGGAATATCATACATCTCGCAGGTTATTTTGGCAAAAACGACATGTAACCAAATTCAAGGTTATTTTGGCTAGAAGAGGGTTACTCATAGCAGGACGGTGAAATGACAGCTATTGCTTGCTGGGATACAGACATTTTAGTGACCCATGCTAAGCAAAGAGCCTGCCGGACACACATAAAAGCACAAACACACACGCGTACACACGGTGCCTGCCTACCGCACCCTTTCCCATGGGTGTGTGTTGAATGGGTGGGGTGTTTGGCTCAAGGGGAATGAGGTAACCCAAGTTACAGGTCATCCTGTGTGGTGTGTGGGTTTAGCTATACTTTTGTCCCCGGAAGTGAAGCTCAATCTAACAAAACATCCCACTGGAGTCACCCTCAACTGGAAAATCAAATCATAAATAAATGTACTCATTGGAAAAAAACATGCCTCTAGCTACATTTTTGCAAAACCCCCAAAAAAAGTACATGTAAATACAATTCACGGCAGTTTCCAGTTGAAATGATCGCTAGAGCAGTGGTTCCCAAACTGTGGTCCGCGGAAAGGCAAAATAAAATACAAAATAATATTTTTTTACCTTCATTTTACCAGGAAATTCCCATAAAAAAAGTAAAAAGAATATGTAGGCCTATATTGATATAAAATTTAAATTAAATTGTCAAGTTATTGTGTGATTACTAAAATAGGCTGGTGGCCTATTTCGGTGGATAGCAACAGGTTCTCTGAAGAGAAAAGAGGCAGAGGCAAATATTTTGACATTATATTAAATATTTGTCTGATTATAATTTCACCAACAATAATTCTGGATTGCCTCCACCAAACAAGTAAATAAGAAATAAGCAAATCAGAACACTGCTCGCCAAAACAGCAGTATGCGCGCAAGTGTGAACCATAGTGTTTCTTGCTGTATCTTTTACTGGGGTCTCCAACACGTCGCTCGCGAGCTACCAGTAGCTCGTGGCCTGATTGGAGGTAGCTCGTCAAGGGCTACATATCGTGTCGTTTGCGCTCTCAAGTTCGTTATTTCATGTAGGCGCACGGCAAGCGCGCTCATAATTGAAGCGTCGACGCGCTCATTTTTTTCCAGGCGCAGCGAGATGAAAACACCTCAACTTTTCATAATGCCGCAAACGCACCGCCGTTCATGTGACAAGAACAAACCAATCAGCTTCATCCTTTCCGTAAACATTGAAAGCTCAGTCAACATGAACAATGGGGGTGCACCGGCTGCACACAAACACTACGGGTGTTTTTCTCTTCTCCGTAAATAAATCTTGTAGCAGAGCTACAGCAAGCGTTTTTCGATGGTGTAAATCTATTAGCTACTAAAACTTCTTTGTCGTTGTGGAGATCGCAGTGCATGGTTGCATAGCAACGACAGACAGCACGGGAAATCGGAAAGAATTTTATTTTTAATAATAAAAGATTGCTAATGTGCATCAATGTAAATGGCAAGTAATTTATCTTTTTTTGACTCATTCTTTTTATAAAAATGATTTAAAGGCTGAAATGTGAGGTTTATCTTTTTATAAAACCTTTTTTGTGAAAGATTATTTAAAGGCTGAAATATGTGAGGTTTATCTTTTCATAAAACCTTTTTTGACAAAACTTTATTTGAATTTCATTTTACTATATGTGCCTATAGGGGTGGCGGCAATGTAAGTATCTGGATATTTGCCGCGGGGCGAGGGCTTCGATTACTTCTCTCTTTTTTGACCATACATGTTTGCATCCCTGAAATGAACCCGATTATGCCCTCGGGCGCTTGAGTAAATAAATAAATTAAATATGTGGCAGCCGTTGTGTGCAGTAAACGTTCTTTTAACAAGCTGTTGTACTGATGTGATGACCAGTTATAGTTTTAGTGCTAGTAAGCCTATTTAGAGGTGTGGATTAATTCAGGTAGGACTGTGTGTAGACATATTTTATTATGTGTATTATGAGGTGGTCCGCGAAAATTCTTGATTACAAATAGTGGTCCACACACACAAAAAGTTTGAAAACCCCTGCGCTAGAGGCAGTAAAACATCAACAACTTTGATTCCTGTTCGCACAAATTATGATTACAGGCAGATCATTTACATATTTTCAAGTAGTTTCTTTGCACAATACTTATGTCCTCAAAACATTTGACCATGGTGCATGATTTGTAAACTAATAGATTTCAATGTTTGGATCACATAATCAGCTCCATATGTATGTCTTTTCTGGCGTAGTAAACTTGCTCGATAGCTCATCTGGTACAACACTGCGCTCAGGTAGGGTTTTACCGCTCAGGTAATACTAGTCACAATAAAAGAGCTCACGCTTGTTTTTGTTGTCACTAATGGTTAGGTTTAGTGTTAGCTTAACCTTTTAGCGCCACTCACTGGATATTTCATTTCAGAACTACTGCAATACATTCGACAAACGACATAAAAATCGTTGCTGTCTGTTTTGGATCAAATTAATGTGCTTTTAGTGCCATTACTAGACATTTGATTTTGAACGCGACACATATTAGGGCACTGTAATATCAGGTAGCGCTTTAGATTACAGCCCGGAAAGTACTGTGTAATTAAGAGGAATTTACAGAGTAACTTTCGGTAATTATAGTGTACCTATAAAGTACTTGCATGTAAGTATAAGGGAACAATATGTAAAGTTTGGAGAATAAAGGGGTAACAACCAAGAGAATTAAAATAATATTTATACTGTAAGTATGATAGAACTAGGGAACTTATTCTACTATTATGATACAACAATCTTACATTTGGGTGCAATTTAGTGAGAACGTACCTTTTTGTAATAATTGTGCACCAATACATGTATAGGCTTTTTTTAAATTACAGGGTATATATCTATGCATTTATACTTTTTTTTTTTTTTTTTTTGATAGCAAAAGTGCAGATGTTTAAGTTTGGGCTAACATGTTTCAAGGCAAGAAAAGCTAAGACTATTGCAATTTTGGGAAATGTGGTTACAGGGTAAGTGGTGCTTGTATAATAAATAAAGGTTTCCGAGTCAGTGATATAAGATTGTGTGTATGCATATTTATTGTTACCCTGTAACTACATGGAACAAGAGGGTGACAAGCACCACTACATGAAACAGTAGTATCTTTCCCCAATATTTAAGCAAAAGTTGCAATAGTTTTCGTTTTCAATGCACTTTTGTTAAAAAGATTACATTTTAAAAATTACAGGGTACATATCTATGCATTTATAAAGCCTATACAGTATGTACTGGTTCACCATTATTTCAAAAAGGTATGCAGTGTATGTTCTTGCTAAATTGCTCCCAAATGTAAGATTGTTATATCATAATAGTAGAATAAGTTCCCCTTAGTTCTATCATTCTTACAGTATAAATCATTTTTTAATTCTCCTGGTTGTTACCCCTTTATTCCCCAAACTTGAAATATTGTTCCCTTATACTTATATTGTAAGTACGTTATAGGTACACTATAATTACCGAAGGTTACGATGTAAAATTGCTTTAATTACGCAGTACTTTCCGGGCTGTAATCTAAAGCGTTACCTAATATGATTTTGCAGAAAGGTTGCCACAGGCACGTTTTTCCAATGAGCCAAGGTTGGTAAATAATGTTGTTTTTTGGTTCTAAAAATCCATAAAGTTTTCTTTTTAGCTTGATAAAAAAAAGCAGTAGAAGTCTACATAAAGCTTTGTAAATGGGAATGTTTATGTGTATGTGTTGTTTTTAACCTCTTTGTCCATCAGTTGCACTTTCCTTCTCCATCTCTCTCTCTCTCTCTGGGGACACGGTTGTCGACCGCCTACCATTCTCTTGCACACCCCGGCTGTCCTGTAACCATGGTAACTGCCCAGATGTTGGACTCTGATTAGCCGAGACTGCCAAATAAAATCAGGGTGTTGATAAAGATCAGGAGGCTGGGTGAGGGGGGGGTGATGGGTAGTTATAAAGGGACAGTGTGGCATATACACACACATATAGACACATACAAACATGCACACATGTAAACACATAAATGACTGAAGAGGATAAAAACAACCATCACACAACAGGTTTTACACAGTGCATTATGGGAAGACTCTCTCCCAGCAAACAAGTGCCTGACCAACTAAATTCATGGTATAGCTCTAAATAAACACGTGTGGATATCTATATCTATAACATTTACTAAAAAAAAAAGATCTCCACAAACAAGTAAACAAACTAAAATTTATTTTCATTTTCCTCACAATGATGTGGCACAGCACGGATTACAAAAATAGCTGAGGTCTTTCATTCGCTTCCAAAGAAAACACTTCATTACTCCACCTGGCATCGTGATGATGTGGTGTTAGCGGTGGACTGCTGGGAATAAAGGTGCTCATTGTCCCAGGATCTCTCCAAGGTCGCCGAGGATGACAAATACACACATGTAGAGTCTCTCACTCACTCACACAAAAGCTGCCATGATGGAGCGAGCTTACCTTTCTTCATGTCCAAAGTGCAGTCCTTCCATGCTGACTGATGTTCTTTTGTCAGTGAGAGTTGTTAAGTCCTAATTGCATAGCAGAGCAGGACCCAGAACAGATGTTTTAGCCCAAAAGACAACTAAATAGCTGTGTTTTTGGATGTGTTAACTGTCCACAGCTTCTGAAATATGTGGCTGTTGAGCAGAAACCTTGTATGTCCAAAACCGTTAATTTTCTGAAAATGAAAAAACAAAACAAACAAAAAACAATTTTTTTAAAAATAATTGAACACTGTGTCATCAAAGTATATGGCCAGACAGTTGTTATGTCATTATATTATTACATTTTACTAAAACCAAATGGATTTCAGACTGCGACGAATAGTAAGGCCTAGTGTCTAAAGCCCTGTTTACACCTGGTATTAAGATGCGTTTCGGTCGATCGGATCACAAGTGGACGAGGGAGACTCATATTCGTTCACACCTGGTGCTTTACTCAGTCTCTTTTGTCCACTTTCAACCACTTCTGTCCTGATCCGGATAAATGTATGTTTTCCCCCCCCCCGATTTTTCGATCTAATGGACAAATTAAGCTCAACTAATTTGAATGAGACGACAGAAAAACACACAGAGAGTAGCAGCTTTCGTTTCTGCTCTGACAGCCGCAAGATCACGCCGAACGCTGTGAGTGTGTGTGTGTGTGTGTGTGTTAGAATCAGGAATGGTGAGAAAACATTGTCTGGCTAGTGCGCTTCTCATAACGTTCACACATTAGTTCAGTAGACAGAGAGTCGGCGGTCTTACTCTTTTGTGGCTGTTTGAACATATTCGCCCACATGAACGTTTACACTACAAAAGCAATCCGGTCAAACGAGTTTTCGACTACCTCTGGTAGTGGTCGAAAGTGAACAAGCTATAAACCTTAAAACCTTAACCTTTAAAACTTCTAAGGCCATTAGATTTTTCCTCAATGTAAGTAAATGTTGTACATTGTGTACAAACCAACCATAATGTATCTTATGAGTTACCCATCTGTTTAACTTGTACAAATTATTACAAGTTCAACATGAGACTGGGTTGTTGCCTGGTCATCAACATCGTCACTTAAATTACTTATAATTTAATTTGGAAAATGTTAAACTAGTCTTTTTGACAACTGGCTAATTTTTACTTGACAACCATGCAGTCGTATTTTCATTTGAGGATTGTATGCTCTCACTTACAACGTCGACCATTATCTCAACTTAATGACTTTTGAATGCTCAGGAATGTACCCGACTCAAATTACTTTTTCACATATACATTTCACACTTACATTTTAGTTTTCACTTGCGACAAAGATCATATTTTCAGCAATACTTTTTGAGAATTTCACTTAGAAAAAATCTGACCAAAATATAAATCTCTATATCAATATTTGAACTTATTGACATGCGCCCTAGACACTGCTAGACAACAAAAAAAAAAATATATATATATATATATATATATATATATATATATATATATATATATATATATATATATATATATATATATATATATATATATATATATATATATATATATAATAGCTTGCTTCAGTAGATCTAGAAAATTGTATCTAAAATCGTATCATCATTACATTTTTCCCTAAAGCCTGACAATGGTAAAGCACTGTCACATAGTAACAGAATGATTTCCTGTTAAGTTGTTTTAAAATGATGTGTATCGTGAAGAGTGCTATACAAATACATTTCACTTGACTTGATATATCAGGTATATCTGTCAGATGGCAGGGACATTTTAAGCGTGCTGTTTCAAATGATGGGATTACACATAATTTTTGTTGGGAAAAAAAGCCAAAAGCCCAAATAAAAAAAGCAGACGACACTAGTTCAAATCAGTCAGGGCATTCCTTTGTCCCTTTTATTTCCTTTCTGCCACACACACACACACACACACACACACACACACACACACACACACACACACACACACACACACACACACACACACACACACACACACACATTTTTTCAAATATATCCGAAAGTGTAAAAAAGTGATAGAAGTTTAAGTTTACCAGCAAATGTACTGCACACTAATTTATACAAATATATTTTATGTCTAACCAATATGTCTAACCATGTTATGTTTTTTAAAGATGAGGTTCAATTTTTTTTTAGATGACCTAAAGGTTTTAAAGTACCGTTTCCATTATAACGGAATTGTGTGTGTTCACGTGTTCAAATGATACCTAAATTATGATGATTATTAAAATATGTGATAGGTGGAAAAGGCAAAAAACAAGTGTCTGCTAACTCCTGCTACTCACTGGGACACTGGCAGTTAGCAAACTATAAAAAGTGATGTATGTTAAAAATAGGAGTATTATGTAGAAAAAAAGAAGTTTTGTTTTGTAAAATTTGAAAATCCCTTTAATGCCTCCAGCAGCTTTTCAGATTATTATGGGGGAGAATTTGACATTTGTTCAATTACTGTAAGGTCCTGTGGGAAAAACTGTAATAAAATTAAAAATGACGTGCTCGTGATTTCTGTTTTTACTCCGTTACACCATCGGTGTGTGGAGGTCACAGAGGTGGCGCTACCTGATATGTGTATGTGCCTTTAATCAGACTGAGAGGAAGTGATCAGGCACTTCCGTCCATGGACCGAAATCACATTAAAACATTAAAACATCTCTAACCTAAAGTACTGATAATGGAACTAAATAGGTAAAGGCCGTACAACTTCCCTTCTCTCCCAGTGAAAGAGGAAAGAGGGAGGAGAGGGAAAGAGAGAGATAAAGGGAGAGAGAGAGAGAGAGAGAGAGAGAGAGAGAGAGAGAGAGAGAGAGAGAGAGAGAGAGAGAGAGAGAGAGAGAGAGAGAGAGAGAGAGAGAGAGAGAGAGAGAGAGGCTGGAGGCAACACTGTAAGCCTCGCCTCTCCATTTTCTAATAAACTCCAGCAATCAGATCATTTGTGCTTTAAATGGGCAACTTGATGGCAGCAGTCTGCATTAGCCACTGGTGCTCTCACAATCTGATTAGACACAGACAGTGACAGTTTCCAGCCAAAGCAGTAGGTAACACAATGACAAACACGCACACACACACGGACACAAATGCACTGACAAACAAGGCCCTTGAGGCTCCCTCTCGCTGTCGTTCTCTCCTTCTCTCTTTCCCTCTATCTCTGAAGACCTTTTTTTGCTAGTGTTTGTGGCACTAATTGAATTGCGTGGAGCAGATGTCATTATTGTTGAGCAGTCAAGCACTTGATGTTTCCAAGTTGTTAGACACTAATTTAAGCTTATTAGCAGCTTTACCAGGGAGCAAAGGTCGCCGTTATGCGTGTGTGTGCGCTGAAAAATCTTCCCTGGAAGGAAAAAGGATGAGAAATCTCTACAAGGACAGGAGCAATAGATAATGGCAAGCTTTGATAGCAGAAAGTAGCTTGAAGCTGAAATGTGTAATTTTAGAACGACTTGCGTCATCAAATGGAATCATTGGGCCTGTTTACACCTGGCCACTTCATGCGTTTTCTATGATCGGGTAGCTATCCGATCGTCAAAAGACCAGGTGTAAATGCCCTATGAAACACTTTCAAGACGGGTTTAAATCCGATCACTCAAACCACTTCAGGAGGAGGTCTGAGACGCATTCCAGACAAAACTGGACACGTGTAAATGCATCTGGTTGTTGAAACCACAAACTTAAATTTTACTACTCCCAATATGGTAAAAAGTAAATGTGTGAGAGTGTTATAGGCTGTATGACATGTTATAGCCAGATATGACAGTGTTACTGCATCACACCTCGGCACAGATGAGTAGCTGAGTATCTCTTCAGCAAGCCGACGTGCAAACTGCCACAAATGAAATTGAAACTTCGGCATCGCAAGACGCTCAACACACAATCATCTTCATTTAAGTAGTGAGACTAAATGATCTTACCAGTTCTGATGCTGCTTTGTCTCCTTTTGCAGTCTTTGATCTTTGAGTTCAATGACTCTATGTATCCCAAAACCATAGTTCGCATTCGCAAACAGCATTACAAACAGCTTCTGTGATTGGATCTACAGCTCTCGGCATGTGATTACTAGCATATATTTTTAGTGTGACATGGAGTTCAATAGATCATGCTCTTGAGCAAAACGAGCAAGCTAACATGCAGTGCAACCTATATCTTTCATTCCATATATTTCTAAAAGCAAATTTCATTCTACATCTTTTGAAAGCAATTTTCCAAGAGTGTGTGCAGGTTTGAATGTGCTCTAGTTCTCTAGAATATGATGTAAGAGGGAGCCATGATTTAATTAAACATCTGTATATACAGCAAAACAACAGAGAACAAAAATATCGAAGTACAGTAGTTCACAGATGTCATGTTTATGATTTACAGCAATAATCTGACATTAATTAGATCTCGAACTAATTAATTCGCACCA